TATTTTTTTCAATTTTTCGATCTTTGAAATTCCCCTTCCTTGACGACCGATGGCTCTTGTTTAGATTCCTCTCTGAAAGGGACACTGCCGACCGTAACTATGCTCTCTATCATATTATATGAAAGAGAACAAATGCTTCCCACCGGGTACACAGGTACGTTCAGGCACCGCTTCGACGGCAGGCTTGTTCGCTGCGGCCACTGGAGCATGTCAGGGGCTGGGTTTGGCGCAATGCCAGCTTGATCACACACCTGCTGTTGGAGCGGGTAGGCGACAACAGTTGGTGGAAAAGTTGGTGGCTGGCGCCGCGCTAAGCTCAGTCCCTTGACACGCCCCAAAATCTGCAGCGAACAAGACTGCATGATGAATTATGATATTCGCTGAATTGTTGAGTGGGCGATTTTCAGGGTCTTCGTGAAGAATTAGATCTCTATTTTCAACTTTGTTCTTTGGAAACAAATTGTGACACAGCAGCTGTGATGGCTGCCACATTAGCGAATGGAGGCAAGCTTTTTTCGATTGTCTTCCTGTTCCGCTCAGCAGAATTCTTTCTTATTCTGAGAATTCAGGCGTTTGTCCACTCACTGATGAACTTTGCATTCATCCACGTCCATGCCGGGACGTCCTCTCACTTATTACTTCGGTGTGGAATGTACGACTCTTTTCGCTGGAAAATCTTGCTTTCCAGGTAAAAACAAAGGCTATATTCCATTTATTTCGGCCTACAGTGGAGTTCCGCAAAAAAGAGAAAAGGACGAAAGAGGTACCGGGAGCGAGGATGCACGTTGCAAAGGGCGCAAGTGACAGTACATCAGGTGCTGCATTTCCAGCTGACTTAATTTTTTAATACTGTGGTGCTACATTTATCAGGTCAACTAGCTACGAAATGCTAGAAAGTTTCAGTGGGTCACCGTATTGGATCTCCTGACCGGTACTTTGGAAAAGATGTGCTGGCGGAACACACAGAGCGCTTCCTGTCGTTGGGGAAATTTTCGCAAGATTTTAACCTCTTCCTCTTACAACCCTCCTATGGTACGACCCCCTTCCCAAGCTACCAACCATTTTCGTAAGTTTTCTCATTTCCCGCGCAATGCTCATTCCCTCGCAGAAGATCCTCCACTTTTTCCCAAAAGTTTTGTCGTCGAGGGGAGCTGGAAGCAAATACGGCCTTCCAACGATCCAATGGGAGTCTCCAATGAGGTGGTCTTGTGCGCGAAACAGGAAAAATCAGTTGTTAAAAAATTTCTCGAGCGAAATACGGCCACTCCCCTCCCAAAAGGATCACAGACGACCCCCTTTGGGAACCTCCACCGTACGACTGGCCCTTGTCGGAACGGACCATAGTTATAGTGCGCAATCATTTTTTTCCTCGCCTTTTTCAGGAAACCGACGATAGCGACTGTTTCTGTGAAGTCTTTAATTCATATCGACAGCTCAAAAACAAGAATTGGAATCAAAAAAAATCAAGAATCAAAAAAATTTGACTCACTCAAAAATTTCAAAGACTTTTACAAATAAGTTGACAAAAAAAAATACCGAAAAATCGATTACGACCTAGCAATCAACCATAAAAATTATGAATCATAAACGATAATTTATACATACTGAATGGTGATAAGTAAAATTAATAAGTAAAAACTAAGTTGAAAAAGCGAACCTCAGGGCATATAAGAGTGACCTGGAGGTTCCCTTTTCTTCCTAGAGATAAGGCGCACCCGTGTATAAAGGGTACCGCCACAAATGTTCATTCACACTACTTTTGTTTGTTTGTTGTTGTTTGTATTAATCGATGTGGGTAATAGTTATCTAGTGGGAAGTGCTTAAGAACTAATAAAATGATAAAAATATGTAAAAAGGCAAAAAAGCTGTTGTCGTATGAAAAACACGAAAAATGCGTCCCATAAGGCTCAAACGAGTTACGCGGCCATGCCCCCCTCCTCTCCAAGATAGGTTCAAGATAAAGTTAACTTCTTCAAGGTTTGGAACGGTTATACGGAGAACTTCAAGAACTGTTCGGCTAGTTTCGAATTTTTATTTGTAATTTTATTTTTAAATTAGCTCAGTGCTCTCTTTGTGATTATGTGACCTCAGAGCCTGATTCCTGATAGGGCTATATTCATAGTTTGCGGAAGTCACGCCACAATTTCACGACGCCTAACCTAGCTGTCCCCTATCTCCTACTTCCCCGTTCTCTACCAACAGTCTGCTCCTCTCTTAATTCCCCATACTCTCTCCTCCTGCGCTGATGTGATAGACACTGCTGTCTGCTAGATCAACATAGATACTTTCCTAGATGCTAACGCTGACAGACGCTCGAAAC